ACATCATCCCGAACATATGTTGCTAATTATAATCCTTGGTTCCTTGTGTACCATATGGATCTGGCGACTCATTGTGATTTCACTCCGTTCCCTGCAGTCGTCTCTAAGTGACTTCTCAATTATCATAATGATGTTGTCTCAAATCACAGAGTTTTCTGCCTTTAACTCCCCGATTCTTACTAAACGCATTATTTCTCAATTTTTGTCCTACCTAAAGGTCTGTCTTGTGCAAAATGTCCTATTCAGCGGTCTTCAGTCCCTCTATTTTAACTCTAGCATATGTTTTGGCCAATGGATTCTTGATTAATTCATTGCCAAAGGTCTACACTAATAATTCTTTCTATTTGGATATCTAATCTTCTGTATAGAGTGAGAGTAGATGTTGGTGAAATTCTTCAATAGCAGCATGCTGGAAGTGGTTTTTCATAATAAGACAGATGTCTAAGCCATGGAGAAGTATCAACTTGAGATTATCATCATTATTATTATTGTTTCCTTTAATTCCCATAGAGGAACTTTTGGCTTCAGCCTCACGTCTCCATTGATTCTAGGGTTCTCTGCCAACGTTTTCACCTGGCTCCACATCTGTCCACATGCTTTCATCTCCTCTTCACATCACCTCCTCCTCTTCCATGTCACCCTCGCACTGATGACCAACTAACTCGCCGCTTCCTATTCGGGTTCCACTCGAACGATGGCCTGTCGTGTGATGTCACTGACTTGATGGTTTGTTTTCTCAGAGTATGGCCAGTCAATCCACCTCCATTTCTTCCTGCATGCATATCAGTTGCACAATCGTTTCCTGCTGGGTTGGTTCATTCCTTCCCAGAGATCCCTGTTGCTGATCTTTTCTGGCGGGACATGTGATCTTGAGTAGTATGAGAGAAGACATCTGTTGATGAGGGTTTCTGGTTTATTGTAGATTGTTGTTGGGAACCGAAATCTTACTCCTTATACTGAATGTAGCGGACTTCCGAACTGATTTCATTCATATTAATGAAGGCATATCTTACATCGTTGATCCTGACTCTGGATTCCAAATTCCTCATCTATGTCACTGTCACTAATGGATGGTAAGGATGCTACTCAAATAAGTGAATGAAGTGACAATCTCGTTGAAATTTTTTTTCACTGATATTGACTGGAGCTCGTTGTTGTTGTTGTTGTTTTTGGTTATCATTATCATCATCACCTCTATCTCATCTATGCTACGTTTTGCTTCTATCCGCTACTCCTTGTCATATTGATCAGGATGTAATCGGTTGAGATGAAATCACAAAATCATCATGATAATAATAATTAATTGCGCCCATGTTGTCCTGATACAAATTAGTCGTTGTTGATTTGTTTAAGTGTACTAACTGAGAAAATTCTGGGCAACTTTTCGAAGATTATTAACTCCTGTCAACTTACCTTAACGAAACAGTCTTAGAACTAATATCATAAAATAGTCTATAGGAACTGTCGCCGGTGGTTTGGCGGTAGAATGCTTGCCAACCACAGAGCTCTATCCCGGACCAGTGATGCACTCGTAGTTCCATATTAGTTTCTTTATTAGATGTTTCACACAGTGAAACAGTTCTATTATCTACTTCATGACAAAGTTTCGAACAAAATTTATTGTGGTTCATAATCTTATCAACTGTAATGACACGAATTCGAAACTTTAGTTTTTTAGTTTACTTTGTCCTCGCTTATTTGTCGTCGTTTGGGTAGTAGACCTTTCTAGATATCTGGGACAGGTGATGAATCATTCCTATTACATGTATTTGCAGTTGATTCGATAAACAAAGCTTCTGTTGTCAATCTCTCTCTCTCCACCCTACTGTTACATTATATTTCAAAACTTTCATCCTATCCCATCCTATTGTATGGTTGTGTGAAACTGTGTGCAGTGCTATCTACGGCTGAACTATTCTCTAGATGCACTCTTAGACTTTGATAAGCCGGTATTAAGATTGGCAAATAGGGAGGTTAGCAATCCCACCCAGGAAAAATAGAAAAACGTCTAGAAAACCCTAATGCTACTGGAACTTCTAAGCTTAAGATTGAAGCCGTATCTTCCGTTCGGAACGTCGACAACATAAGAACCGCAATAGTATTCATAATAATAGGTAACATCGGAATAATATATATGACACACGCACATTTATTATGATCATACCTGCTTTTGTAAGTTTTACTTTATCCCAGGCCGCATCTGTGAGTAGGATTCAAAATGAATGTTATTTTTTTTAAAATTAAGTGAATATAGTAACTCTTGTATGTACAAAATGTTACAGGCCTCAGTTTAATTGATGTGAGATTCGGTTAATTGTGCTTCATGTAGTCGAATGGTACAATCTCTACTAACATACTCGTGCAACGGATTTGATACCTAGCTAACACACTTGAAAACTCCTCACTTAATCGATAATAGGTCAAGTAAATAAAGTAAGTTAGGCGTGTAGTTGACAACCTCACCAAATAGAAACCAACGGCACCACGACTACCGGAACATTTCTGTGTTTCACTTGGAAAGCAGTAGTATCTCGGGTGCATATTCCCTCCAGTTTTGAAGCTCATTAGCTGAGTGTACCTGTATGTCGCGTGATGGTGCTCTCCCTGGGACTCGACTTCTGAAAACGCCGAAAGCACTAACTCCATACTAAACCACTTGACCAATAGAGTCACATCAGACCAATAGGCATCAGATTTTCTTTGTATTTCCAACTGACTACTATATATATATTGACCCACATACTCCACCGTCTTTATTGCCATATCCGCTCCTAGTAAAGATGACTGGAATTTACCGGTTAATCAACTGGAAGTACAGAATAACTTCACCAGATAACTTGTATTCAATCGAACAAAAGTAATGCTTCGGTAGTTCAACAGTAGAACTCTCTTCAAACCACGCCTCACTTAGTCTGAGTATTGATTCTCGGCCAATGTACTCCAAAAACTTGCCAAGCCGGTAGTAAGGATGGTAAAAGGGAAGTTTGAAAATATAAACCACTGCTATCGGAACTTCAAAGCTCTAACTTGAAGCCCTATGTCCCATTAAAGGACATAAAGGAGTAAAATAATAATAAGAAATTAAATTATAACCTTAGTCTGGAAATTATCGGCAGTACACACCCAACCCCAGGGTTCGAACTCAGGACATTCCATTTACAATAATAATAATAATATAATAATAATAATCACTTTATTCCACAACAATAACAATTTACAGCATGGAATTTTCAGCGTTTCATTTTACATATTGCAATGGTTTAGCTCTTTTTATAATTATATAAATGTATAAAATTTTAAAAATAGTAATAGTTAGTAGGAAAAATAAAAACCCCAACAAAATACACCATTTCTAGGTCATAGTGAATAATAAATAAGTAATATAACAAATCACACATGCAATAATATACATCATTACATTTTTTAGTTGAGTTAATGATTTAGAAGTTGTAAAAGTTCCTTTCTGATATTCATCTCTTCACACAATACTCGTGCCAAATATGGTACGGTCGAATTTTTATATTTTGTAGTACGAGCATAAATGTTTATGAAATTTCTTCTGGTCTTACCCGAAGAGATACAAGGAAACAAATGTGAATAAAGAGGATGTTCACTATCAGACAAAATAACTTTAGCTAAGTGTTTACAAGAATTCATGTGCCTATTGACAACAGTGTCGGTTAGTTGAGTCAAAGGGATAGCACTGACCCTACTTACAGCCCTCAATGTTCTTCGTAGTATTATATGGTCTTTTTTGAGTAGCCCAGGGAAGAATAATGGGGAACAATAAAGAATAATGGGCAAAACACATGAATTAATAAATTGTATGAGAAGAGATTGGGTTATACCTGAGTGCCTCAACTTCTTTATGTAATAAGTCAGACGGAAAACTTTCGTAGAAACTATAAGAATGTGAGACGACCAGCAAAGGTTTGAAGAGAAACTAATACCAAGATAAGAAACACTTGACTTACTCTCTATCATGGTACCATCAATATTACAACAATCATGAGATTGGATCAATCCATGCATGTCTTTTTCATTTCTCAAGCTGAAATCGACAGTATTACATTTAGTTGGATTTAGTTTAAGACCATTTGAGCCAGACCAATCCTTAACTTCAGCTAAGAAGCCATTCATATGGGAACAATCCAATGTGGAAACTACAGGGACAGAAACGGTCAGATCATCAGCATACTTAATGAAGTTAACGTTGGGTGAGTTCGGAAGGTCATGCAAAAAGAAAGAGAAAAGAAATGGAGAAAGTACTGCTCCTTGAGGCACACCACTTTCAGTTAGCTGAGAAGTGGAGCGCTTTCCAGCCAAAACAGTATGCTGTTTCCTATCCTTAAAATAAGAAGACAGCCATCTAGTTGCCCAGGACTCTGTCTGTGCTGAAATCATCTTTCCTAATAAAAGTGTCCTAGGAACAGAGTCGAAAGCTGCAGTATAGTCTAAAAAAGCTGTTCGAACGAACTTAGCACCCTTATCAAGGCAGGAAACAATATTGTGGTGTAGTACAATGGCTGCATCTAATGTACTTCTTCCACACTTATAAGCAAACTGCTTAGGGTCACTAAAAGCTTTTAAAGAAGGTTTAAGAGTATTCAACAGAAGTTTCTCCATAGTTTTCAAAAAAGGAGATGTTATAGCGACCGGTCTAAACTTTATACCTGCTCCAGATGATGATTTCTGTACAGGTACAACCTTGATTTCTTTCCAGTCAGCAGGTACCGTTTCCTTGTTGAATGATGCATTAAAGATTTGAGTAAGAGGATGACACAAGATGTCTGCACACTTTTGAAGAAGAATGCCTGGTACACCATCTGGACCAAGGCTGTGTGTTGGATTTAAAGATTTCAAACATAATAGTACATCCTCTTCTTTAAAACCCGGAAAATTACCATTATCTTGACTAGTTACATCAGGTACAGGTATATTAATTTGTTTCATGATAAATGATTTGTTTAAAGCATTAACATCGGAATAAGCATCAACAGAAATTTGTTTTTTACTTGTAAGTTTATTGAAAAGTTTCCAAATGTTTGAAGGATTTTTACATGATAAAAATTTTTCATTATATAGTCTGTTCAATCTTTCTATTTCAATTTTTATAAGGGTGTTTATTTTACGGACACCGGTATTATCACAATTTTTATACAACTTCTCTTTTTGTCTTCTAAGTTTTTTCAGCTGCAAAGAAGAGATTCTGTCAAATCTCGAAAACAGTGTTTCATATGGACAGCAAATATCCAAACAAAACTTCAGATAATCGGTTATATTAGAGACAGTAGCATCCAACTTATCGTCAGTAAATAGTTCCCAGTTGGTATCATACAACATGCTTCTTAGTGCTAGAATGTTATCATGGGAATATGAACGTTCATGTATCTTCTTTGTTAAATGACTAAACAATTTTTTTTGTTGTAACTTGCCGTACACTTTCGGTAAAATACGAATAATGCAGTGGTCAGAGTTTAACAAAGGAGCTCTCCTTCTGGTTTCATATACATCACGGTCGTTTATGAAAACCAGGTCTAGTGATTTGTCCAGACGTGTATTAAACTTGACTAGATTCTCATGACCAAGTGAAGTAAGAAAGCTGTGATCACATGAATTAAAATCACCACAGACTATAGACAGCGAGTTTCCGAATGCAGGAGCAGCGAATTCAGTAAATTCATCTGCAAACGTAACTATATTTGAAAGGCTACAATTGGGTGTTATGTAGATATTTGTTATGTATATGTAAGAATATTTACTTAAGTGTTTTGGGCGACACCTGACGGTTATGCAGTCTATATTGTCACTAGAATAATTGAAGCAAACGTGATTTGATGTAGACCAACTTGTGTTTATAAAAGTGGCTACCCCTCCTCCACATTTTTTCTTAGAACTTATTCTATCTTGTCGAAAAACTTTATATCCATTTATTGAAACTAGATTATCATCATAATGCTGGTGCAGCCAAGTCTCTTGTATTGCTAAAACGCCAGCGTTTCGATAAACATTAGAATACATTAGGGATTGAAGATAATCCATTTTGTTGGACAGGGATCTACAATTAGTGCTAACGAGTTCAGGAATAGTCATTTGATTAATTTGTGTACGTTTCAGTGCACGCTGCCATCCACAGTGATGCTTTTTTCTCAATTTTTGTGGATGACACAACGCAGTAGGTTGTAATGATTTTAAAAATGCGCGATTATAAATAATACGATTAGAACACATTATTGATAAATTAAAACAAAATTAAAAGAGCAAACCAAAGCAATGTTGCAAAATTTGGTAAGGTGGAATTTTTGGTAGCCCTAGGTTCAAGGCAATCTAGTAGACTATTCAGCCACCGGGACCCGACTCCTAAATTCTAACTTCCACCAATTCGTGATTTAGCGTGACCCCAACCAATGTCGTTGGTGAGACATCCATCCTCACGCTTGAATGGATGGACCTCACTAGTCACGACTTCGTACTAGAACTCCAAGAAACTCTGCTCTGTGGTAAGTCACTGGAGAAACTCACATACGTTAAAGTAAACGTAGTCGAGGATTAAAACAAACGATTAAATAATCAAATAATTGTAAGGGATTACAAACTGAGTTACTAGGATAATTTTTTTCTATAGTTTGGTTTGTAAGTGTTAGTTATGTTTTACGAGTTGATCTTGGAATGATATGAATTAGAGAACCATTAAAATCCAAGGAGTATTGGACAGCTGTTTCATCCTAGTTTGCTTGTCTAACTAATGTCAGCTCATGACGAAATCCTTCAACCGATCAAAAAAGGAAACGCCGGCCATGAGGTTAGCAAACCTACCCTGTAAAAACAACACACCAAAGCCAGTGAAACCCGCAAAGCTCCACCAGAACACAAAAAAAAATTACTTTGGTAAATAATATAAAGGGAATATAAAATATTGTTTTAGAAAAAACATTTACTTATGGCATGCCTCGACTTTAGACTTTCGTGAACTGCTAACTCTAGTAGTTTGTTTGTTTGAGCTTGACAAAAGAATATAGAAATAAAAAATCGAAATATTTATTTATTCTGTTAGGAAGAAAATTTATTTCGATAAAGTCTGACCGCTTAATATATATATATGTATATATATATATAGGAATATTTACAATTTATCACTGCTCATCTTCAAATCAGGTTAGTGAAAGTAATGAGAAAGAATACAAGGCATTTATACTAGTAGTTTTTTTAACATATAAGACAGGGACATCTGAGACCGTACGTAGTAGGATTCTTAACAAAGCAGGAGTTACAGTGGCATTTAAACCTACAAATCCACTGAGGTAGGACAAGCTTTGCAGGCTGAATGACCCGACCCCCGACCCGATAAGACAAAGTAATACGATTTACAAAACAGCTTGCAATGACTATAGCCTAAGTCAACAACTACATAGGTGAGTCATAATAGCAGATTGAGGGTAGTCAGATGGTCAGAACATAAGAAAGGTTAGATTGACTAACTTCGAGAAGATAAGTAATCTAGAAATATACTCAGCAGTCTCATACTTTTCAGAGGTACTAGTTTCATTAACTAATAACGTGTCACATAACGTGTCATAATATATACACTGAATATATAAAGCATACCTTTCTGTTTGTAATATTCCTGTTCTAGTTTTCTGAATTCTGATTGTATTTTATTCACATTTTCTACATGAACGAATAAAAGTGAAACAAGGTTTCAATATTATTTTGAAAAAACAAGCTGAAAAGAATTGCTTCAAAAAAGGAATCTATCTATCTTTGCATGAATTGATTTTACGAGTTTGACCACGAATTGATATCAGTAAGAGAACCATTGAAACCAGCACTGGAGTACTGGACAGCCAGCTGTTTCATCCCACTGGTTTTGGAATCATCAGCAGTACGCACGCATTGTCAGGGTTCGAACCCACGATATCAATCCATGGTCAAACTCGTAAAAACAAATCTAACCAACTCTTGAAATTTAATCTGATGCTCGCTAGTGACTGGTTACAAGACGTAGTTTTCTGGACTTCTAGTGCGAAGTCGTGACCAATGACTTCCATCCAGTCAAGTGTGAGGATGCATGATCCACGGATGGCATAGGTTGGCGGTCACGCTAGATGCGCCATGAATTGGTAGAAGTTAGAATTCATGGAATGGCCATTGAGTGGTTGAGTCCCAGTGGGCTTGCCTTGTCACCGGAAGGTCCTGTGTTCAAAACCCAGTAGGTACGTATTACTGATGATTCCCAAACTAGGATGAAATAACTGTCCAGTACACCCTCGTCGCTTTCATCGGTTCTCTAATCGATATCAATCTTTGGTCAAACTCTTAAGAAGAAGAAATCTAATCCTTACAAACAAAACTCTTGAAAATTCACATGAATTATCAATCATGGTAACAAAAATGACAAAGTGAGTACATAATCGAAGTTTGAGCACGGAGAGATATAAGTTAGACAACCACTGGAATTAGGAGAGTATTGGCCTGCTGATTCATTCCACTAGTTTAGGCCTCATTGCCAATATGAAATCCCTGGGGATTTAGCCAAGGACTTTCCAACCTAATGGTCAACCCATCTCCATTTCCTTCTACATATCTGTCACGTTATAGTTTCTTGGATGTTTCGTTTCTAGACCTACTTGTTTTCTTTCCTTTTCTTGCTCGCTGTCTCCTCTTTATTATGGGGCTAACGAAGGCAGATGTTGATTGAATTCTGATACCCGCCTGAAATGCTTTTCGTGATGGACGCCAAATCTCTGAATCACCTAAAAGCATCGACTGACTTGACACTTCTGTTTAAAATCTCAATCAGATTCTTTTTGCTGAGTGTGGAACAATTCCTCACTGATTTTGGAGCATTGATTGTTTGGTTTTCCTCTTCTATGCCATCTGCAATTGAAACCATTCTACCCAGATAAATGGACGAATCGATTTCTGCTAAATTTTTCCCATCGACAGTGATTGGTGCTTTTTGTTTTTGCTTTGTTAGAGTTAGCTATACTCATCAGCTCTGTCTTCTCTATGTTCAACCGTACCATCCATCGAATCTAGAAGAATATTCAGGTTACACAAGAGTGAACCAAATGACTATTTAGTCACTGGTGAATTATCCAATGGCTTAGGAATGCTGATGAGGAGTCCTTAACTGAGACAGAATGGCTGCATTGTGTTTATTGATTCTGAAATTGATATTTTTTTCATATTGCAACCTAGAAATAATGAAATGTCTGTAAACCGACAATTAAAACTTAATTTTCATAAATTTAAAACAGAATCTACTAATTTACGAAAAGTGTATTTGCTTTACTTTGATTTCCATTGGACAATAACTAGTGTTATATGCTAATAGTAAGTATCCAATGCAAAGTATTTAACACAATCCTTTCAGGAGGTCAATCACAAACCTTGAATAGCTTACTGGTGACATCTCTAACTGAAAAATTCACTGGGAAGCATTGGGCTTGAATCACAGAAGAGGGAAAGGAATTCCACCTCGCTGACTGATGCGTTAATAGGTGCAAAATCCAAAATCTGGAGAGGCTTCCTTTGGCCGTAATCGGCCGACCTACAACCATCTAATTATTCTGGTTTCATTATACAATCTAAAAGAAAATCGTCTGTTGAATTGGAAAATAAGATTACATGGGTTCAGGAAAGGCAAATCATGTTCTGACCAAATTGCAACTCTACGCATCATCATCACAGAAAAAAGCATGGAATGGCAATCAAACCTCCACCTCAACTTTATAGATTTTGAGGAGGCCTCCAACAGCGTTGACCGTGAAGTAATTTGGAAACTACTCAAGTACTACGGCGTACTCCAAATATTCATCAACCTTATTCAACAGCTGTACGACAACGGTACATGTTGAGGGATCCACAACGGAAAACTCAGCAAGGCGTTTGGAGTAATCACAGGAGTCAGACAAGGGTGCTTATTATCACCAATGATATTCCTAATTGTGGTGGACTGGATTATGCGTCAGACAGTGGGAAACGAGAAGACAGAGGTATCCTGGATCAACTTGAAGAACCTAGAAGACCTGGATTTCGCGCGTGGATGATTTATGTTTGATGTCACACAAAATCGAAGACTTACAAGCAAAAACCGACAAACCGGTCGAAGAAGCAGCAAAGACAGGACTCCAGGTGAACTTAGACAAGATGGAGGTTATGACAAAAACCAACCAACAACAACAACAGCAGCAACATCCAGCGCCAATCACCATCAGCGGGAGGGATTCGAAAGAGGTTACTTCATTCACTTATCTAGGGAGCATTGTCTCAACTACAGGAGGAATGGACGAGGATTTCAAATCGAGAATCGGGAAGGCAAGAAACACATTCATCAACTTGAAACCAATCTAGAAATCTTCGTCACTCAGCATCAACAACAAAATTCGGGTTTTCAATACAAACGTCAAGTCAGTCAGTTCTTCTATACGGATCAGGAACTTGGCGGCGGGTCACAAGGAATATTTCCAACAGCATGTTGCAGACCTTTATAAACAACTTTCTT